GTCTCTGTCTGTCTGTCTGTCTGTATCTCTCTCTCTCTCTCTCTCTCTCTCTCTCTCTCTCTCTCTCTGTCTCTCTCTCTCTCTTTCAACATAATTATGTGTGGTCATAAGAGCCACAGTTGTCGTGTCCACTCTTCGGGCCCAGGGGCTGAGCTGTGGTTGACAAGCTAATGATGACACAGAGGAAGAAACCATCCGCATCTCTTCCTGACGATGACATTGTTATCATGCCACTAAATTAAGCTCCACAAAACCTATAGATTCCTTGACATGTTAGACAGTGAATGTCTATTCTTTAAAGCATTTGCTCTCATACGTTAAGTAAAATTTTAAAGCCTTAGCTGTCTGGCAGTTCTCAAGCTTCATCCCAAGTTTACTCAAATAGAAGCTTTAGAAAAAACAGGTGACTACATTGCTGCGCTCCGTGTTGCCAACATTGAACGTCTGTGACAGAGACACTGAGGCTCTGAGCAATATGGGTAACGTTGCCCGGCTTTTCAGTGGTGTGGACATAGAAATGACTCATACGCCTCTGCTTCCCAAAGTATTTTTGTATAATTTCTTCCTTTTCAACCCCATCTCTTCTATCAACTCCATTGTAAAACCTAGTCAATGGGAAACACAACACAATAACACATTACCTTAAAAGCAAATCCTTGTTTTTAGCATCTTGCAATGTTAAAATGAATTTTATATCCAAATATAAAAGAACTGCCTGGACTTTTTTTTTTGAGGGGGGCATTTTATTCCCTGTATAAATTCAAAACATCTTCTCTTCCTCCTTTTTTCTCTTCCTTTTCCTCTTCTTTATTATTTTCTCTTAAATAAATTAGATATCCAAAAATATGAGTGCTTAAATATGAACCAAAAAGATTAAAATCAATTAGGATTGGAATAAATTAAAACTAGATAATATATATTATATATTCTGTCTTAACTCTCAAGGTTATACAGAGGTCAGAGATATACTGTATCTTTGGCTCTATACTAGATAATTTTAATGATAAGTCAATCTTTGTTTTCTCCTTTTGTGTTTTTTAAATTAACTAAACACTTATTTTATTTGAGGCAGAAAAAGTACAAAATTGAACTCTTCCTTCAGTGAGTTAAAAAAATGGGATTAGTTCATCCTCAGGCATAAAACATCTTTGTTTGAAAAATGTGTTCTCTTAGTTGTGAATTATACATTGCATTTAATAATTCATATTTTGCAAGCAAAGAATTGCATATTCTCTATCCACATGCAATTGTATTCTTTAGAAGTTATTCTCATATTCAGTGGAAGTTTTAAGAGAGGAGAGATACATAGTAGAAATCAAGAAAATTGTAATAAACATCATTTGTGTTCACAGAATAAGAAGGCTGGAACTGTTATTTTTAGTACATTAGCAATGACTTCTCCCACTGTTGTAACATTGATTTTATTTATTAAAGTAAAGGAGAATTAGTTCTTTAGGGAAAATAGCTGCTTTCGTTTCCTAGTACTTGCTGTATGAGAATCGCTGAGTCTTTTTTTTTTTCTTAAGCAGATAAATCCTATCAGAATACCGAGAGCTGGAGTGTAATAGATCAAAATGGATCTTATCTCATATTTTCCTTAATGGTATTGATAACCTTTCTGTTTGCTGAATAAACAAAAGTCTTTTCTTTCCTAACTTTGTGACTCATTCGTGCTCAAAGGGCAAATTGATGTTCATATTGCCACGAAGGGTAACCAGTACTTTAGTAGAAGAAAAAAAAAACACTAAATGCTTTATGAATCAAAGTGTTTTCCTAAAGCAGAATAATAGGAAGGATTTCCAAACCTGAGCAATTTTTTTCTTGTCTTGTAAAATGGTTATACACACATTCATGTCCGTGTGCATGCACGCACAAACACATATGTTAGTAGCTGGCAAGGGTTAGCATTAACTATTTGTAAAAATAAAGGAAAACAGATTGGTGACTAAATGAAGTATTTAATCCAGGGCCTTCAAGCTGAGCTGGATCTCTAGCACCTCTGCCTTTTCTCAGATTTTATTTTGAGACAAATTTTTGTTAAGTCACTAAATTACCCTACCAGATCTCAAGCTTGTGATTTTTCTGCCTCAGATTCCCAGATTGTTGGGATTACAAGTTTGTACCACCATACGTTGCTGCTAATAGACATTTAAGAGTGTACAAAACATTTGCTATATAAACATTTAAAACCAAACATTTTGAAGGACATATATACATCTTGTAAAATGTCTGTATGTATTACACTTTTAAATATCATGTTTTTCAATTGGCGTAGATAATATTATATTATTACTTAGGTGAGAACTGAGCTATTTTGGCTCCATGATTTTATAATTGTACATTATAATGAAAATAATAAACTCTTTATGAATATGCCATATTTTACTCTGAGTAGAGTACAACCACTTACATGTGATTTTAAATGTTCCCTTGTTATTCTTTCATGCTTCTATTTTTCTATCCTCCTCATTCTCCCACAGCACCAGCTTGTAATTTATCATACAGACATTTTCATGAGATTCCCCTACATTGCATTTTTCAAAAACTCACTGCTGATTTAAAAGGAGTTCAGATACTACCAGGAGAAAATATC